TCTCTCGCTCTCTCTTTTTTTCTGCGTCCTCAGACCTCTTTGTGTCCTTTCAGATCTCTGGAGCTCGTTTACCAGCGAGATGGAGAGATGAAGGGTATCCCTCTGTTTCGGTACATCGCTCCCAAGACAATGTTCGCCAACGGGACGGATTACGCTCCCAACGAGGGCTTCTGCCCCTGCAGGCAGTCGGGTCTGCTGAACGTCAGCAGCTGCCGGCACAGTGAGTCAAACACGTTCTGTATTTAAGGAACCTCTGAACCCCAAAAACCCAGCGGCAGGATTGGAAAGCATGTTTTCTTTAAACAATCTCCAAAACTATCCGTCATTATCGTCAGATGTTCATCTTTCCGACGGTCTTTGAGTTTCGACACCTGAGATTTTGGAAAAAAAAGTGCAAAAATACCAACAACAGACCTAATAATGACTTAGTTTCCATCTTTCAGACTCTCCGGTCTTCATCTCTCAACCTCACTTCTTTAATGCCGATCCTGTGCTGCTGGACTTCGTTCAGGGCCTCAAACCAACAGAGGACGAGCACGGCCTCTTCATCGACATCCATCCAGTGAGCACTCGCGCACACGCACTCGCGCACACGCACTCGCACACGCACTCACGCACACGCACTCACGCATACGCACACACACTTCCTGTTGACTCCCTGCACACATCAATGGCATGAAAAGGATTCACCGATACGCCTCCTCTAGGTCTATAAGATCAAGTTGGAAGATTTAGTCCAACTCGATTGTTTTCATAATTAGTTCCCTCTTAACTTACATTTATTTAAATTCTCTGATATTTTTTCCCCAGAATGTGTTAAAGCAGTTAATCCGACTAAATGAAGCACGCTCGTCATTACGTCCTCTCTAAAACGTGTTTTATTACGGTTACATTTATGAGTCATCATTCTGATATAAACACACACATAATATACACATATTGGCGTACAGCAGGAGAACACTGAAGCGTTAGCTCTTTGTACTTTGTGTGGGATGATTGTATATTTAAAGTATCTGTTGTGGACCAGAGGAGGTCCACGAGGCTGAAGCTGCAGGTGAAAGACGAGGCTTCAGGTGACACGAGGTTGTTTCCTTGGCGGGTTGTCGGTGTCCTTGAGGCTCGGCTGGTTGTCTTCACTGATTGCGTATCGCAGACCTGCAGCCGTTGTGCTATGTGTCGTTATCAAGGGAGAGTTTTATCTTCCTGTCGACACAAACGATGAATCTCTGGTCGACGGAGGGTGAAAGGTCGCGTCAGATCATTGTGTGTCAACGCATTCTGTAGTGATATAAAGGATCAACATGTAACTGTGTCCAAACACGTCTCGACCTGTGTTATGTATTTAGTTGAGTTATGTACTTATATCATCCAAAATGTTTCCAACTATTTTAAAACCAGAGAAATCTGTCATTTGAATGAAGGAAGCGGTGCGCTTCATTCGCTCGCCTGTCAGTGGATCATATCAGCGCTGTGGTTTTCTGCCAGAAGTTGTAATAAACTGACTTTTTATCCAGTTTTAAGCCACATTTGTACGACACAGTTTTAGTTTTTAACTCTTTATTTTAACCAGATGAAGGATTTTAGTCATCGGACGTCTGGATCTTAAGTTATCAGAGCTTAAAGCTGCTTTATTCTGTGTTTCTACCGTTTATTTATCTCTGGGTTTGATTGTTTTTTGGAGAGGAGACCTCATATTTACTGCTGTACGATAACGGTTTGATGTAATGCTGCCGTGATTCAGGTTGCTCTGTGTGAACCTCACAGTTGGCTGCAAACCTGCGTCGTGATAAGGTAATTGGAAATTGAGCTATTTCTCCGTAATCGCAGTTGTTTGAAGATTAAGTGTCGTTAGAAAACTTTCTATAGCTCCAATAAAAGATATATATCAGGTAACCGCTTGTATAAAACGATTCCAAGAAGAAGAGAGCATGAATTATCGATATCTGGTTAATGATTGAGGGATTTTATGAAGCGATTTCAAACGTTGAGCCAAACTGGGCGTGTGATCTTCCCACTACAGGTTCCTGATGTGTCTCAATCATTTAAAGCACTTCAGACCTTCTTCAAGATCAACAAGAAGGCCGAGACATGTGATCAACATCTCATCCCCTCTGTGTGCGTTGTTGTTCTCTTCAAACACTTTTATGGACAGAATTCGTGGCTCTGACGTCCAAAAAAAAGCTCTGAAAAGTGGCGAAAGTTATCGCCCGGGTGTCGTGTTTCCATCACTGCCGATATGAGGCGGAGCCGAGCTCTTTGTCGGGGGAATGAATAATTACGGCGATTGTTTCCCTCTGACGACAAACGCCAGATGTCAGCGGGTTTCTAGTCCTTTTGGGAAAGACACTTCTGCTTCTTCCTGACAACAAAAAACTAAACACATCTGTGCAGGTTGCTGTTTTAATTGTTCCGGTCTTTCTTCAGCAACGTTTAGCTGCACGACAAGTTGAGAACAGGACGAGAAGCAGGAGAATGCATCGCAGGCGTTACAAAGAGAAGCTGACAGGAAGTCATGAAGGCGCTGCTTCTGAACCAAGTCACTCAGCTGGAGAACACACACGGGAAGATCTCAGATCAACTCTGTGGCCACTGTTCAAACCTCTTATTGTGTTCAGTAGAATCCACTTCTCACCGTATATGTGACAGATTATTAATATTCTGGAGCAGCTTCAGTGTTTCTCTTTTTGACCGTAGAAAACGTTTCGGGTTATTGTTTGTGAAGCTTTACACTTTCACTCCTCTGTGTGCTGAAGGTTCACACAGACGGGTTTGTTCACTCACACACTCAGTTATACATTTATTAATAAAAACAGGAGGGATGGGATTTCTTTTGGGCGGTGTTTTATGGAGCGGTACAAAGAGAAGAGAACTAACTGGAAGAAGGCGTTTGGCAGTTAAAGCCTGAAGACTAAAGAGTGAGACGTTGTTGTTCTCACTCTTGTGTCTCTCTTGTGCATTTTTCTTCCAGACGTATTTGACCCTAAAATCGAAATTGTAATCCTTTAAAGTCTTCAAAAGCATCACATGAGGATTTCCTTCCTTTGTGTACGGTGTGTGGTTACGTGAGAACTCTTTTTATTGACGGTATAGGACACGTAGCTTTTTGAAGTCCTTCCTTATTGCTCTCTGATTCCATCGTGTCGTTGCAGCTGACGGGCGTCCCTCTCAACGTGTCCATCCGGCTGCAGCTCAACCTCTACATGAAGAGAGTGTCGGCCATTACGTAAGAGCTGGTCCCCAGAGCTCCGTCAAACACTCATCATGTATTGTGTTTGTTCATCGTTTGATATCAGGAGGCTGGAGGCTACTTCCTGCTTTTCTTCACCGCTGACATTGAGAGGTTTTATTTCTTTGTCCTTGTAGAGAAACTGGCAAGATAGCCGAGGTGGTGATGCCGATGATCTGGTTTGAGGAGGTCAGTTGTCTTTTTATTGAAATATGAAAGTGTTTAAAAGTGTCTTTACAGAAGGAAGAAGTTCTTTCTGTCCACTGATCATCGTTTAATGCTCTCAGATATTTAAATCTCTGTTCGTTTGAATCATAAACTGTCTTCAGATCTTTTACTTCTATTTGATGAAGAAATACTTTGTTACGTTGTTCGTATTCTCATGAAAACATACTTAAAGTACCAAAAGAAAAAGTACTCACTGTGCAAAAATAGACCCTAAAATAATATGTATTTAAAATATTACATGTTATAATTATTGATGCATTAATAAGTAAAGTATGTAAAGATGTCAGATAAATGTAGTGGAGTCATTTGTGTAGTAGAGGAGAAAATGCATATACTTAGTATAGTAAAGTTAGTTAAAGTACAAGTACATCAAAATTGTACTTGAGTGAATGTACTGAATGTTCAAAGCCTCTATTGTGGACGCGGCCGCTAGGAGCTGTGGCCGGAAGGTCATCGGTGCCTGTCGTGGCGGCAACCCGAGAACCCGGTGGTGGACACCGGAGGTGAGGGAAGCCGTCAAGCTGAAGAAGGAGACCTTCAAGGCCTGGTTGGCCCAGGGGTCTCCCGAAGCAGCTGACAGTAGAGCTGTGTCCGCATTCTCGGCAATAAGTCAGACACGTTCCCGGTGGGTGTTGGCCTCCGCAAGGGCTGCTCTTTGTCTCCGGTCCTGTTCGTGACTTTCATGGACAGGATATCTAGGCGCAGCCGGGGGGTGGAGAACGTCAGGTTCGGGGGTCTCGGGATCGCCTCTCTGCTGTTTGCAGATGATGTGGTCCTGTTAGCCTCCTCGGATCGTGACCTCCAGCATTCACTGGGGCGGTTTGCAGCCGAGTGTGAAGCGGCGGGGATGAGAGTTAGTACCTCCACATCTGAGGCCATGGTGCTCTGCCGGAAACCGGTGGATTGCTCCCTCCAGGTGGTGACGGAGTGCCTACCTCAAGCGAAGGAGTTCAAGTATCTCGGGGTCTTGTTCACGAGTGAGGGTAAGATGGAGCGGGAGATCGACAGACGGATCGGTGCAGCTGCAGCAGTAAAGCAGGCGCTGCACCGGACCGTCTTGGTGAAGAGGGAGCTGAGCCGGAAGGCAAAGCTCTCAATTTACCACTCGGTCTACGTTCCTACCCTCACCTATGGTCACGAACTCTGGGTCGTGACCGAAAGGACAAGGTCGCGGCTACAAGCGGCCGAAATGAGCTTCCTCCGTAGGGTGGCCGGGCTCAGCCTTAGAGATAGGGTAAGGAGCTCGGTCATCAGGAGGGAGCTTGGAGTAGAGCCGCTACTCCTTCGCGTCGAAAGGAGTCAGCTGAGGTGGTTCGGCATCTAATTAGGATGCCTCCTGGGCGCCTCCCACTGGAGGTTTTCCAGGCACGTCCAACTGGGAAGAGACCCCGGGGAAGACCCAGAACACGCTGGAGGGATTACATCTCCCAGCTGGCCTGGGAACGGGGGAGTAGGGAGGAGGGGAGGAGGAGGAGGAGGAGTGCTCTCACCTGTACTGCTGTTAAAAGAAGGCACACTTTCACTAAAAGGGAAGCCGTAGTTTGATCCTGTAACACGTCGTGTGTTTGTTTACCTCCTGCAGAGCGGCTACATAGACGGACCCATCCTCGATACGTTCCACACCAACCTGGTGGTTCTCCCGGCTGTGATGGACTTCATGCAGTACGGCTTCATCGCCCTCGGCCTGGCCACCATCCTCATCGCCTCCCTGGTGCATCACAAAGTGAAGGTAAAGTGTGTGTGTGTGTGTGTGTGTGTGTTATACCTGCATGTTGCACAGTGGCGCATGTTCTCCCACTAAAAGGAGATACTGAAATTTGTACGTATTTTAGCCCATAAAAGAATCTTTATCAGTTTAGTAGTATTTGGCGTCTCTGACAGAGAACCCAAGATGTTCGTCTCCACCAGACTCCATCGACAAAAACACTAATCTAACCGTTTAAAGTCACACAATCCTCGTCCGATACCTCGCTCATGTCTGTTAGCTTAGCATTAGACAGACGTGATCTTTAGAAGTGTTGGTCGGTGGATTTTGTTACCTTTGGCTAGCTGTTTCCCTCTGTTTCCAGTCTTTGTGCTAAGCTACGCCCTGGTTAAGCCTATTATTTAAGCTTTAGTTACACTTGATGTATAAATACTGTGAATGAGCCGGTTAATGAGTACTCGAGTGGCTCCTTAAGTCACATGACCTGTTTGCTAACAGCTAAACGAGGAATTGATTAAAAGTCTTCTGGTGCTTTATGTTTGCAGAGGTCTCGTTCAAATGTGACGATGACTTCCACAGGAGAGGACAACCCTGCAGTCAGTAAAACAACCTGACCTCTGACCTCCATCATCTGAACACTAATGAAATCACTTGATTCATCGCTGCAGTAATCAGCGGGATTTGACTTGATTTTTGATTTGTTTTTCTTTACGACGAATCAGAATATTTGTAATTTCTTCAAAAATATTTTATTAATTTAATTTAATTTAATTTTTTTAAATGCTATTTATTGATTTTTAGCCACAAACAGCTTTTTCAGTTTTAACTGAGAGCTGAAGTGCTTCATCAGATTTCCAGTTCTCATGTTGTTGTTAGAAACCGCTCCATTAACTTTGCTGCTTGATAATCGCTCCATGAAAACAGCTGCTTACAGATGAAATAGTTTGATTATGATCAACAGACTCTGAACTAACCAATCACACGTCGTCTAGTTGACAGCATGATGTCATCCGCTAACGCAGAAACGACTCCTAATGTCCACAATCTAAAATATAACTTATTGCAGAAACTTCCTGTTGTTGTTATTATTGTTATTGTTATTGTTATAATAATGTTAAAAAGACAATGTTGTCGTTTTGTAGGTGTCCGATGAAGAGCGAGTAAAAGGCGCTCATGACCACGAAAAAAAGAAGTATATAAATAATTAAGGTGGGTTCACACACAAAGACAAACGTGTACAAATGTATATCGACGGGACAAAACATGAGAATGTGGACGATGCAAGTTTTGATCAGAAGCAGCTTTTATTTCTGTTGTTTCACTGTGATGTAAATGCTGGTTTATGACTTGTGGAGTTCAATGACTGAATGTTTCAGGTCTTTTCTCAACGTGAAGCAACTTTAAAATATATTGTTGCATATTTATTGTGCTGAAATAGTTCTGAGACCTTAAGACCTTTAGTTTACTGGGTCACTCACAGCAGCTGTATATATTCTATTACACTCAAGACAATAGTGATAATGTGATCTGTTATAATTCAATGCAGGATCGAGGAGTTCTCTTTGATGTATGACGGGTCAGAATATGAAATAAGTGGTTTTCTGTGAGGATCCAAACGGCCTCACGTCTTTTGTCTTCTGAACGCTTCCTAACGCTCCGTCTCTCTTCTGGTCCTAAACACAGAGACGTGAATGTGAAGAGGACGACGCATCATATGGAAACAAGAGCTCCTCTACTGAAAGATGACACACACACACACACACACACACACACACACACACACACACACACAGCTGGTGTCTCTCTGACTTTATTCCAGTACCTTGAACTGAAACACTGATGCACACGTTTCATTGAGTGAAAGAGATGACATGTTTTATTCTTCTGTAAATGTTTAAACTCGAGGACGCTTTCACGTCATCCGACGCGTCGGGATTCAGGACATTTTATCTGTTGCCATGGTTACACTTGTTTTTTTTTTTTTTTTTGTGCGATTTTTGTGATCGGATGCGTCGGATCAGAACTCCGCTGTGTGGAGACTTTCGTTTTGATAAATTGTCCCCATCGTGTCCCATCGTGTCCACACCTCACTGAGATCTGAACTCGCTGTGGTCCAGTCCACTTCGCCATGTGGTCTGGCTGATCCCGCGTACAGAATTGACAGTCAATGCGCTGAAAAGACGAGTGTAACCACGACTTCTTGAAGACGGAACGAGTGACGACGATCTGTCGCTCAACACCACTTTTCTTTTTTTCTTTATTTTTGTACCAAAAACAAATGAGACTCCAGCGTGTTCATGTTGCGCTGCTCGGTATTCGATGTAAATCTGCGCTGATCGGGAACATTTGATAGTTTGTCTCCTCAGGTTTACTGTTGTGGTTATTTCTACTGTGATTTAAAAAGACGTGTTTCTGCATCAACAACAAGGGAACTCACGGGCAGAAACTGCTGACTGTTGGTGAACTGAACCTTACTACCGACGTGCCTTTGGTCGTCTCACTGACCTTCAGGTCCTTGTATTCCATGTGCTCTCAGGATCGCAGAGTTAAAGCAGAAGAACCAAACTCTTCTTCTGTAAAGGTGTGAATGTGTTTCTTGAAACGGAGATGAATGATGACGTCTGCCGTCTAAATGGCTCCTTTATTATGAATGAATGAAACATGGAGGTAATAAATGTTTTAAATTCTACTCGTGAACGTGTGAACTCGTCTTTTTGTGGTTTTAGACGTATGAAGATGAGACGGTGGAAGTCCAGAGTACGTAGTCGCTCTGTACAACGTGGTCGTTGATCTGCCATTTGGTTGGTTCTGAATAAACCCGTTCTATATGACGTCATTCATTAAATGCTCCTCCTGGAACTTAGTTTTATGAGATTTGTTGATTGTTTCTATTCTCATGTTGCAGAATGTTTGTTTAACCTGCTGACCTTTGATCCCAGTGTTTAAGAATCAATACACAGATCTGTGTTTGGTCGTTTGGTTTTAAACAGACTGCAGAAAAAATGAACTCACTTTAACTTAAAGTTGGACAGTGAAGAACTAGTTCTACGAAGCGTCTCTAGTGAACTCTTCAACCCTAGTTTCTGTAAACTTTATTAACACTTCGGTCTAAATGACGCTTCACAGACTTCTCTCTGCAACCCGAAAGAAATTCTGCTAAAAATAAGTTGTATTCAATATAATGTGCAATATAACTTTTTATTACTTTTCAAAATGATTGAAAATATTACACAATATCTTACACAATATTACTTCTATTTTATTATCTATTAGGCATCGGTGTCAGTATTACTTCTTATACACTTTATCTTTATCACTCTTGTGTATATATGTTCATATATATAAAATGTGTTATTTTTCTGTTCTAATCTTTGATCAAACTGGAGCAAGAATTTCCTTCAATATTGATAAAGTTTCTATTTGATCTATTAAAGTATATACATTTCTAAATAACACTGTAATCAGCTGATCAAATACAGACTCCGCATGCTTCTAACTGAAGAAGGTGAGACGATGACGTGAAGACGTGACCTCAGTAGCAGCTTCAGCAGCCTGCTGACTGAGGCACCGTTGGGTCAGAACAGAGATCAATGCGTTAATCAGGTTTGTGTCTAGTCAGCGTTTTTTCATGGTTCTTTGTGGGGTCGATGAGGTCATTACCCACAGAGGCATGTTTTGAAGCCGTGTCCGTGTCGAGATGCTTCAGTCAGCAGAACGCATGATGCTATCGCGTGAGATAAGACCAACAACCTTTTGGGTTACTTTACAGCTGCTTGTTGAATCCATCAATAATGACCCCGCTCTGACTAGTGTCGGCTACTTAAAGTGACAGTGAGGAACCTTTATCTGTCTCTGGTTAATCCTGATGCTTCATGTGTTGAAGCTGCATTCTCTCTAGTGTCCACCAGGGGGCGACTCCTGGTTGTATAGAAGTCTATGAGAAAATGACTCTACTTCTCTCTTGATTTTGCATTTCTAACTACTTCGTCAGACTGATCCAATAGTTGGGGTCACAGTATTTGCCTCAACACTCCTGACGCAGGAGAGGAGCGAAAGGTGTTTGAAACAAGAGCAAGCTTTTGAATGCATGACTTCTCCTTGCAGTGGAGTACTTCCACGGTGTAGTATTAGTACTTTTACTGCAGTGAAGGATCTGAGTACACCATGTCAGAGTCCTGAGATGTGGACATATTGTGCAGCTGCACTGTAAAGTAGTTCACTATGGATGTTGTTAACTCGCTCTGTTTCACCGTCCTTCAGCAACACGTCTGATGAAGTCCGTTTGTATAGTTTGTGTGTTTAAGGTCTGAACTCAATGTACAGATGACATCATGCTGAGCTCCGTCCTCTAGAACGAAAACAAGCTGCGAGTGCTTCAATATCAGCAGGAGACTTGAAGAGGAACCAAACCTGCCCGTATTCTCTCTGATTTCCAAATATATCCAATTGTATCATATTATTTATTGTTCTATGACTTCACAGTGTTGTGTAGCAGCTCACAGATGGAGCAATGTGACCTCTTTATCTCACCGTTATCTTCTCAGATGTTAGAAGTCAAAGTCTGGCACAAGTCTTCCCTGTTGGCTTCTTCATATATATCAACCATTTTATGCTATTTAACTGTACTTACCTATCATACTATTACTCCACTATACATTTTCCAGGGAAATATTGTACTTCTTCACTACATTTATCTTTGCATCATTGATTAAAAGGTTTCACATGAATATAATCATGTTTTAAAATATAACATTTTATCCCAAAACAAATGAAAACCATGACAGAGAAGAGGTTTATTTTCTATATTAAATGTCACTACTGGAACACTTGTTAGTTCTTAATGGCCAGCTTTCTGCTCAATTTGCATCTCTATTCTCTTATTAGTTTTATTTTGAAAAGGAAAAACAGGAAACACGCAGTTTAATTACATCATTATTTTTAGTTTTAGTTTTTGCACCCTCTGCACAAAACTGCACAGCTCTCTCATTCTTAATCAGTTTTATCGTACATATTTGTTTGTGTTTTTATTGTTGTTGCACAACAACAATGCAGATTGTCGTCCTATTTTGCTACACAATAAAAGACATTTTCAGAACGAGACTTCTCCTTGAGCGAGACACACAATAACAGACAGTCGGATCAAGCTAAAGATCAAGAGAAACGTTTTATTGCTCTGTGGGGTTCTTTCCATCATTTTGTCCGACACTTCTGAGCCTGTCAGCGGCAACAACAAACACTTTTAGTGGACGTAAATGTCACTGAGGCGAGTACTTTGTGGCCCGTTCAGCGGCTTTCTCCTTCAGTACCGGACCAATTTAAAAACCTGTTGTCCCCATTCGCTTCTGAGTCACAAAAACATGAGAAAACAGAGTCTGCGCTCAAAAATACCGACGTAACCATTTAAAGACACGTTAAAGGGTTCGCTTCACCCAGATAACCACTCATCTTTGTTGCTGAAATGCATGAAAGTCAATGGCACATGATTTCTCGTGCACCTCCTGTAAATAACACTGAACAAGTAAAAGACAACACGTCATCATGACATGATAACATTTGGTCCTCTGTGTGCTCCACATGCGCTCACATCAACAATACACAGAGCAGAGAACCCGTGTCATGTGACTGCAGCTGTTGTCTGCTGAAATAGCCTCGTTCTTCACCGTTGACGTACAGCTTCACCGGCCCGCGGCTTGTGAACGGATGCTTTGGGTGGCGTGTGGCGGTGAAGCGCCTCGTGTTTTCCTGTCGTCTTCTCTCCTCTCAGGACTTCATAGATAGTATGTGCAGACTTCTATATTTGGCTGAGTGAACTCTGCTCAACTCATTGTCAACACAACGGGCTAATCCTGGCCAACAGGTGCGACACACACACACACACACACACACACACACACACACACACACACACGTCACAAACTTGGCGCGACCCGGTTGCCAAGCGCTTTCCAAAACCAGCCCGAGAATGCTGGGGGTCAAATGTCAGAGCGGCTCACATGGTGAGCGATGGAACGGACCAGAGAGATGTTTCACCAACAGGGTTTTCTACCGATTCTACCAGGAGAAACGGCTCAGAAGAAACTGTGTGTTTACAGCAGAAGCACGAAGAAGACTTTACTTTACTGATAGGATCACCAGATAAATATGAGGGGTTGAGAAAGGATTAATGGAGGAGTAGGAGGAAGAAGATGGTGAAGATGTAGAGGGAGAAGAAAAAGATGGAGAACATGGAAAGGAAGAAGGTGTGAAGAAGATGGAGAAGAGGAAGAAGGCGAAGCAGAAGAAGATTAAAGAGAAGAAGAAGGAGAAATATTGAATATTTTGACCTCTGGACCTCAGAACGGTTATTTAAATGAAACCATCTGAGAACCTTTATAAACTGATCTTTGAAATGTGACAAAAAGCTCCAATTTGAGGCTGATTCTTGTGACATCTGAAAAGTAACCAACAACTACAGCTGTCAGATAAATAGTGCAGCAGAATATTAGAAGTATAAAGTAACAAGTCACCAAACACTGCAGCCTGGTCAGCAGCCCTTTGACGCTCTACGTGGCCCTAACACATTCATAACTACGTATGAACACACTTTAACCCAAACTACAACATGCTGTTTCCTGTGAATAGGAAGTTTATTTTGAAAAAAACAGAACGGTGTGATGAGTGGAAATTGACACGTGCACGAAAGCGCTTCATCGTTTCGAGTTGGGAGTGAGAATGTGTTGAAAGTAACATAAAAATGGAAACACTCGAGTAAAGAGCAGGTACCTCCACCACTGGTCTTCACTTCCTGGACAGTTCCCCACACCACTGACATGTGGTGTTAATGCACTTGTCTCACTGGTTAGATCAAAACATCCCGGCTACATAAAGCACTCGACCGGCACGACAGCCTCTTCAAGAACGGCGCAGAGCCGATCGGCGGGTCTGAGCCGCCGCTCCGTCCACCCTGTGTTCCCACGCCACCTGATGGGTGTTTGCTCTACTGTGAGGGGCCGCCGTCGGGGGTCTTGGTCTCTGAGCCCGAGCCGTTGGACGTGACCTCCAGGCGAGGCTGGCTGTGAGGGCGGCTGGACGACAGCTCCGCCCTCTTCTGCTCCGCTGCTGCAGGGTGGACGGCGGTGGAGACGACGGTCTCCATCCGACTGGCTCGGTAGATGCTCACCTGTAAATACAAAAGTCAGAGATGGATTCACTCATGGGAAGAAGAGTCGTGAATTTAATACCACCTTCTTTTTCTTTAATGTTACGGTAGTGTCTGTGAGCACCAGACTCCCTTTAGAAAACCTCTCATTCTACTGCAGCAGGGTCTGACAGTCTGCTCCTCTCAGTCCTGGTTCTGGGTCTCCCGTGCCTCCCTTCCCTCCAGCGGGTCCAGCAATACGTCCTGGGCCTCCAGCAGAGAGGAGAAGCTCTGCTCCTGGAGGAGGAGGAGACGCTGCTGCCAGGAGCTGAGCTCTCCTCCTCCCTCCGACTGCAGGTCCAAGGCTGCAGGTGAAGCCGGATCTGGGTCCGTCCGCGGTGGACCGGTCTCTGCTGGAGGATCTGGGTCCGTCCGCGGTGGACCGATCTCTGCTGGAGGATCTGGGTCCGTCCGCGGTGGACCGATCTCTGCTGGAGGATCTGGGTCCGTCCGCGGTGGACCGGTCTCTGCTGGAGGATCTGGGTCCGTCCGCGGTGGACCGGTCTCTGCTGGAGTCTGAGCTGAAGGAGGTATTTTTTTGCCCTGAATCCAGTACACTGCAGCTTCTAATCCTCCATCAGAAACAGAACCCTCTGGACCTGTGTGTCTTACCCTCACCTGTGTCTGCAGGTAGCGCGGTGACTTGAGCTCCAGCTCCTCCTTTCCAACGGTGGGAGCACAGCAACAAAACACCTGCTGGAAACCTGCTCTGAACCTGCCGAGTGGACGACAAAATATTTGACAACAGGGCGGATTAAAGAGGGATTACAGACACAAACACGGATTACCGACCACACGAGCAGACAGAGGAACAGACAGCTAGTCATTTTGACGGGGGGGGGGGGGGTATTAAAAATGACCCCTCCTACCTGCTGTTGAGGCAGTAGTAGATGACGGGGTTGTACATGGCGGAGCTCATGGCCAGCCACATGATGGCCAGGTACACCTGTTGGATGTAGCGCTGCTCGAACAACTCGGGGAAGAACTGGTGCAGCAGGAAGTAGATGTGATACGGAAGCCAGCACACGGCGAACGTACACACGACCACGATCATCATCTTCACCACCTGCCGCAGACAAACAGAGTACAGAGGGTTTAGAGTAATCTTTTCACTGTTTTGGTTTTCATGGGGGGGATTTAAAAGCCATTAAACTAAATGAGGGTGTTTAGAGAAAGAGCACAGCAGACAAAAGTGTGTGTGTGTGTGTGTGTGTGTGTGTGTGTGTGTGTGTGTGTGTGCGCGCATCACCTTCCGTTTGGCTATCAGCTGTTCTTTGTAGCGTTCAGAGGAGTCTCCGGGAATCCCGCTCGCCCAGAGGGTGACACCCACGATCGTGTACGCGCATCCCATGATGCCGAGGGGCATGAAGTAGATCAGCAGTGTCACACACACGTAGTATCTGGGAGATGAGAGGAGGTTAGGGAAGATGTATTGATAATGTGTCGTGTCGATCTGCCAGTGTTAAGACACAGAGGTTCCACTATTTCTGTGCGTAACGTGTTTCTGCATCAGTTTATGGTGTAAATCTATTGGAATATAATGCAGTGAGGCTGTCGGTCATTATCTATTGCTTTCAAATATTTATTCTCATTTAGTCGTAGTATTATGGGAATAAGTTTGTAATTTAATAAGAATGAAGTCAGAATTTTTCAACATAAAAATTGTGATATTATGAAAATAAAGTCATAACTAAATGAGATTGAAGTCGTAATATTTGAGACAAAAAGTCTTAATATTATGAGAGTAGATTAGTTATTTAATGAGTATGAAGTCAACCTGTCCCGTACTCTGTTATCACGTTATTGCTCTGCTGTGGTAGTATTCCCTTCAGACCGTCTTACAGACACATAAATTTAGGGAAAATGTCCCCTTCGTGCCCCATGAAACCTCCCCTTAATGTCCCCCGCCTGGTGTCAACCAAGACAGCAAACTTTATTGCTCCTTTCAATCTTGACAAAGGCAGTGCAGACCAGATCCAGTCCTTCTGTTCTTACCTTTCTTACATATAATATTTGCAGGCCAGTATTTAGCATTTCGATTTTTGCTTCTACTGTTTGAAAACTTTACACTCTGCCAACTGAGATCTGTGTGATGTCTCCTATCGGATCATGGACTATATGTTTCCATACATGAATAAACACACACACACACACACACACACACACACACACACAGAGATGACATAAGACTCTCCTTTTGGATGCAAATTCATCAAATGCTCATTTTTTTTCCCGCTTTTAGTGCCACAGATTATTTCCTGAAGAAATTGAGGACGACCCTCACAGACGGATTCGTCACCTGAACAGGAAGGAGTCATTTCAGCTGCAGGGTCTGTTTATTTTCATATATTATATTAATCCCTCAAAAGAATGATTATTGCACTGGTTCTTCCAGGCTGCAGCAGGTATCCTGAACTCTATTACCCACAAGGGTGTGTTGCAGCCACAGGATATATAATTAATAAGCATGAACTACTACTCATCATCATATATCTAATATACCAGCAGCCTAAACATATTTATTTTTAAGGATATAAATGATCACCTTAACAGCCCAAGTTTACCAAAACTTGGTAACCAAGGATGTGTGTGTCCATCTGGCTGAAAGCTGATTATTGCCGCCTTAAAGAAACAGTGCAACATTTTTTGAGGAAGAAAAATGAATTTGCTTTCTTGAATTAGAAATTAGAAATCAATGACATGTTTGAGTGTGTTCAGTACGGAGCCAGAACAGGCGGCAAACTCCGTCACTCCTCCTCAGTCCTAATATGGTCACTTCCTGTTCACTGGTTATCAAAAAAACAACATGGCGATCGCCGTAATCCAAGATGGCGACGGCCAAAATGCAGACCATAAACCAATGTGTGACGTGAGGACGAGTACGTGCACTTCTTATGTACAGTCACTTCCTTAAAGTCAATGAATGGTTCAGGTTTTCAGAGGCCTAATATTGTGCTTCGCCCCTTCCAGGTACTCACATCTTCTTGAAGTCCACCGTGGTGTATTCGGGCCAGTCGATGTAGCAGACCGTGCGTCCCGGCAGCAGCGTGGTGGACGAGAAGTAGTACTGAGGGAACGCCAGCACCAGAGCCAGCATCCAGACCACCGTGATCACCACCCGTGTCTCTGTGGAGGTCAGCCTCGGCTGCAGCGGGTGGATGATCGCCATGTATCTAACATGTGGGGACATTTTCTGTTACAATACATAATTGTATATCATTTACATTATTTTGCAACATTTTTCAAATCTTTAATTTCCCTGATCTTTCCCAGGCAGCCGTTGGTTTCTACTCATTTCACAGCGTTGTGAAAGTCAACTAGAGACCTGAAGCCAGCGTTAACATAGGAGATCAACAATCTGCTGCTTTCATTTTTACACATAATATTGTGTTTCTGTATCATTCTGAATATTCCCAGTTGTTGCATTCAAGGACCTTTAGATCTGCCAATTGTCCCGATTTTTTTTAACGTGATAATTAACTTGATCTTTCTCACAACATTGATTAGATGCACCGCCCAAGACGTTCGCTATCGTCACCGCTCTCAACCACCATCTGAGATCATGTACAGTAAGTAACAAAATAAATGCAAAATAAATGTTTTTGTAAACTACTCAAGTAAGTTTCAGGTTTCTGCACATGTCCATGACATATAGTGATGAACTGAAACATCAACATATGAAGACTGCAAATATTCTGTTTGAGCCCAGTGTCATGGCAATTCATGAAATAATCTATGAAAGTAGAATCGGAGGGTGAACATTATTCTCACTAAACATCAGCATGTTAGCATTGTTACTGGGAGCATGCTAGCGTTAAGTACAGCCTCACAGAACCACTAGAATGGCTGCAGACTTTCTCTTCTTCTTCATAACCTCTCATAGAACAATGTCAGTTAGAAACTATGAAACAGCCTTTATATTAAATAACATCTCCTCCATGTTGCACCAATATACAGTGAGGGGTCTTCTCTATTCAGCCTCCAGGTTCACTCTCATTTTGATGTCAGTCCTGTGGTGGAAAGATTTCTGGCTTCTGTAGGATTTAAGATGTTTAGTTACAGTATAAACACGTTTATCTAAATACACATAGTCTCATTACACACACACACACACACACACACACACACACACCTGTCCAGAGCGATGGCCGTCATGGAGTAAATGCTGGCAAATATGGCTGCAATGGGGAAGAAGTTGTGGAAGCGGCAGTACACCAAACCAAAGTACCACTCGTTGTGAACGGCGTAGGTGAAGTTGATCACCGTGTTGAATGCTGACATGGCGGCCTCGGCTAAGGCCAGGTTCACCTGCAGGAGAGCGAAGGAAGAGTTGTTTGCATCAGAACCTACAAACAGGACAACAAACCATCTCTCTGCATTATCTGCTGGAAGAGAAACGAGATGCATGACTTTTGTTCTTCATGCAAAAGACATGTTGGAGTTAAAACAACAACTTTTTTTGACCAGTCTGTCATTTTATATCTACTTGCACCACATGTAACGCTGACCAGGGTCTCTGCAGGTTCACCAAGTTGACTTTAAGACCATCTCACAAATGTTTCAGACCGATCAAAGTATAGAGACTTAAAGGTAAACCGGTTGGAACAATCGGGCCTACGCTGAGTTATTATCACATCACATGATTGTCAGTAGTTCCAAGCACGTCTGCCTCGTCTTTCGAGTCCATAGAGAGGAGAAGTCTCGCCCCTTCCGGTGTCCCACCAATGGACCTCATTTCATAAAGAATATGTACAGAAGTCAACGGGAAAAACAAATGTTAGTTTTCTTTATCTCTCTTTGTGGTCATTCTGTGTTTCTTCGTAGTTGTTTTGTCTTGTTGTAGTGGTTTAGTGTCATTTTCTGGTAATTTGGTGTCTTTTTGTAGTTATTTTGTGTCTCTTTATGTTCATTTTGAATCTCTTAGTAGTTGTTTTGTTTCTCTTATCGGTCATTCTGTGTCTCCTTATTGTTGTTAGGTCTTTCTTTGTGGTCATCTTGTGTCTCTTTGTAGTTCTCTTGGTCTCTTTGACGTTGTTGACTTTGAGCCCCTGGGCCTGAGCCCGGTAGGCCAGTTCAGGAATCCAGTCATGAGTTTGTGTTCATCCCGTGAGACGCACAGTTCATTTTTTACATCTCGGTTTCTGAGGAAGAAAGCCGAGTTCCAGGTGATAGTCTCTGTTACAGCTTGACATCTCTTGGCGGAAACTTTCAAGGACCGACTTCATTTGGAAGTCTGTTGGGTGGTGATGCAGAGGTCATTGGTCATATGGAGCTCTGGCTGTTTGTTTGTGAGCCTGTTGTTGAGGAGGCACAGATCAGCAGTAAAAACAATTCCTCATGATTTCATTTGAATTAATGCAAACTGGCCCAGAAGATGAACCAAATGATCAACACTAGTCCGTTATAAGACACAGAGCTTCCTCTGCTGTAGCTGCTGTATTGGTCGGTGTTTGCTGCAGGCATGATGGAGCTGAATGAAACTCCACAAATACAGATCGACAGGCCTCCAGAGAACCATCCGCCATCACGACAACATTAGTTTAGAAGTGTATGAAGTCTCAAGGGAAGGTTTATTGACTTTTTGTAGATTCAATCTAGATGTTTCTAATATCTTCTAAGTGCTTCTGTTGTAGAAGAAACTGAATTCAATCCTTTTTTTAACACCTGCAGATTCCCTGCTAACAAATACAAACTAACGCATCTGATTGGTTGCTGCAGACAGAATACAACCTGAGAGGAAGAGCTGCCGGAGGAACACATGTATGGATAATATCTACCTTCTGACACGCTGCAGAAGATCAATACTGAACAGATGGTTTACCTCTGATCTCTCTCTCTCTCTCTCTGTATTATATACTAAACACTTTATGTTTCAGCCTGTTCTGTAAAGAAGTCTTTGAATTTGCATCCTTTGATAAAAAAAGGTTTAATATGAAAGAACTCATTATGAATTACTGTCAATGCTGTTCTGAATATGGGCTTTTGGGCCGGACTGTGAGGAGCTCAAATTTGATTAAATTAGTCAAACGAAAGATTTTCAAGCAAAAATGCCAAAATTAGCTTCAGATTTTATGCTTTTCTTTGTCTTGTGTGACAGTAAATTTAAGATCTTTTGGATTTTGGGACTTCTGGTTTCACAAAACGAGCAATAAGAGGAGGACTTCTTAGGCTTTAGGACAATTCTTTGATTGTAACAGAGAGCAATATGTTGGAATAAGGTAAATTAAGTCAAGACTTTGAACCCCTTTCACTTCCTGGTATGTTTCAGTCATTTGATGCATCATGTTACTTCCGTTCTTGAATGATCAGAAGCGTTTCAATGATTCTTTTCCTGATAAGTCCTCCCTGATGCTCTCCAGAGAGTCAAACACTGAACACTGTTGTGTTGTTGTTGCAGGAGTGAAGAGAGTTTGATGCATTAACTCACCTAATTAGCCCGGACACCTGCAGTCAGCAGCATTGTATTTATTTGGTTTAGAAAATGTATTTCAATGAAGGATTGATGCAGTTTGTTTTCATCCTCTCTGTGTTGACAGTTCATGGATGCACCTGATTTGTTTTCATCAGGAGTTCTAAATAAATTCCACTTTAGTGGAGACACGAACTGAAAACCATCCCAAACAGTTCAAAAAGTTGTATTATCAAACAAAAACATAAGAAGAAGAACTTGACTTCTTATTGAAAAGCAGTCAACACGCAGCACTCACTAGAAAGTAATTGGTGACGGTCCTCATGCGTTTATGCGCCAGAATAATCCAGATGACCACCATGTTTCCAACCACAGACACCGCGACGATGCTGCAGTACGCGACAGCCCACAGTGTGATCTGCCACGCCGGCTGCACGAACTGGTTGAAGCCGTCGCTGGAGTTACCGGAGACGTTCGTCCCGTTCGTGGCGTTGAAATCATCGGTGGCGTTGAGAGGGTAGAGAGGGTCCATCTTTCTGGACACCAGCGTGTTGGGTGTTTAAAAATAGAGCAGAGTCCTGTTACTGGAATGGATTTCTGTCTCGGAGGAAGAGGAGCAGTGCAAATGTAAAAAGCGCAATTCCCACATGTTGTGGTGGAGCCATTTTACGCACCGTGGAGCCGCGCGCTCCAAAACGCACCAAAAAAACCACGAAGCAGCGCGCAAATCATTGACGGTATTCAGGCTGTTTAACCCGCAACACCCGCTCCCTCCACTGTTACCTCCCCCCCCTCACTCACTCACTCACTCACTCACCGCTTCCCCATAAACACACTCAATGATTCCTCCCGCTCGTGTCTGGCAGATATCAGCTATTGGAAATCACTCTGTAGGACTCTGAAATGCGAAATAATGTATCAGGACTCAGCAGGATTAAATCAATCTGAGTCCATCTGGATGTTGTTTTATGTAATGTGATGGGTTATAATGTCCACAACAGGTGACAGTATATGAATATTAAATAGATGGTTTATAACACACTGCAATGTTGCTGTAAGCAGATAAAATGATTTTTAAAAATTCAAAAATATTTAGAATTATGTACTTGCAAAGTTTAAATTCATTTATTTTCTATTTAGTCTTTATCTATCAGGATAATCCCACTGAGATCTTGGATAAATTGGTTCTGGCCAAGATGGCGGAAACATTTCATCACATAAAAACACAAATTACAAAAAGTTGAAAAAACAAAAAGAAAACATTCCCATAAAAGAGGCGACGGACTTTCTGTATCAGTCACTGTGGAATGATTTTGCACATATTCTGGACTTTTTAATGAGGAAGAAGGAGTACTTGCCATTTAAGTATCTTAATGTGTTAATTATATGTTTTTCTTTTAGTAATGTGGCACGAGAGAAAGGTGGCGCGAAAGTAACGCTGCGCAAAATAACGTGACACGAAAGTAACGTGAGAAACTTGGCACAAAAGTATCGCAGAAATTTTCTCCGATCCCATCCGAGTGTGACGCGTCTAACAGCGGCAGAACGTACGACACGCAACACTCAGAACTCAGAACGTATGTTTTTATTATACAAAGGACAAAATATTTTTCTGTAAAAAATGTCATTTTTAGACATTTTTGGAAAAATGAATACGAACGAATAAAGTTGTTTCTCTTTTATATAAAACACACCGACACTGATAGAACACAAGAGAAATGACTTTCTGTCTTTAACTTTATCTTTTAAGATTACGTTTATCCATAAAGTTCATTTTGTTCCGGCTCATTGTTGTCGTGTCAACAGATTCCAGCCAATAGTCCGAATATTAAATATTAACACTAATGAATATCGTGTTAAAGTAAAGTGTTATCCAGAAGGTAACTAATACATAAAAGGTTTCCACTCATCATGTTTGTTAACTCGTGTTTATTGATTCCATGCTTCAACATTTGATGAATAGACAATATATTACTCAGTATAATGTATATACTGTACATATGTATAAAGGATGTGTCCATTTAAGCCAACATGCCAACGTCTCTGCTGTCTTGTTGTGAATTAAAGGCTCCGTGACTGAAGGTTAAAGGTCACTAGATTGCATGTCAGCAGCAGAGAATCACACGACAGAGCGGAGAGTTTATCTCTCAGCTTCTCCACAAACTCTCCGTCTGTGCGTCGCATCACATCAGTTACTCAGAATCCACTGGAGGGGAAAACACACACAACCCAAGAGTTCATCTCGTTCATCACCTGCTCCCCTCACAGCTGCAGGTAGAGACGGCTCATGTCTGGACAAGTGATGAGGAGACGAGGTGACATGGGGGGGGTCTGCACCAACACCTGGTTTCATATGAAAACTCTAATTAACCAGAGAGACCTCAGTAACAAGAACCTGTGGAGGCTTCTCTGCTCACATCTCACAGACTTGTTGTTATTATTGTTATTCAGTGGAGGGCTTGTTGATGGTCGCGTCTCTTTGGCTGTTCATGTGTTCACGTGTTCTGTAATCACTCCCTACATAATAATGAAAACTAAATATAAAATTAAAAAAGATAAAAGGCAGCTTAACAATGATAATAATAATTAATTTAACTTAAATTTATTATAAATAATAGTAAACAAATATAATCATAATCATGATAATACATACAGTATATATATWTTTTTTAAACTTTTTAACTTTTMATTTTTTTATTTTTTCAGTTGCTGTAACACTCAATAAAAATCACGACAAAGCATCCTTAATAACACAAATAAAAATAGTCTTTGTGTGTGTGTGTGTGTGTCAGGTCTAAATGCAAATCTGCTTATTTTGCCCCGAGGTCTCGCTCCTCGCTCCACTTATTACATCAGATATGAAACGTGTGTGTGTGTGTGTGTGTGTGTGTGTTTATGTGTGTGTTTATGTGTGTGTGTTTGTGTGTGTGTGTGATTGCCACGGTCACACCGGATCATGCCTCCGGAAGTCTCTTCAAACAAAGCGGGGTGTCTTATCTGTGTGATATGCAGATTGTTTGATTCATTAAGCAGCGCAGCATGAATACAATACTTTGAGTTTAATACGAACACGTGAAAGTAAAGAAGCTGATGAGAGAACAACATGAAGTGATACGATGGAGAGGAGCTGCAGCCTGGCAGCAATATGACATGATATTCCTACGAAACATTACCAAAACGATTGAATACACAAATAAATACAATACGATTATTCACACGCCAAGAGCGAGAGTCCATACATTACATTCAATAATAGGAACAGGTAGTGTTTCCTGATGGAAGAAGCATTCAGTACCTTTACTGAAGTAAACAATACTAATACAACAGTACCAAATATAA